AGGTTGGGAGATGTCGAAACATGATTGGCCTGTTTGACTTATGTGAGAGGATTTTGGTAAAGATGTGATTAGTTGGATTGATTATTTCGGGTGGGGTTTGAAGAAGCCATAATGATTCAGTTAGATGTACACCAGGCAGCTAGGGAGATGCGTGACTTAGTCAAAACAGCCAGAAAGCGTCTACTTTAAAACTTTAAATATAAATATTAATTTTAGCCATAATTTGGGACAGAAAGGTGCTAGCCGCATAAAATTTGAACACCACAGGTACATGTGTAGAGATGTGTAACAATCTGGTTTGGTTAAAACAGCCCTAACCCTGCCTGGGAAAAATTGCCATTTTTGAATCTGTCCTCATACAGCCAAGAAACTCCTGTGTACTGCAGACCCCTACTTSCTTTGAACTGAATATCAATGACCACAAAAAGATCAGGGGCTATATTTTTCAAACTTTTTTAGAATGGATTTTTAGATTTAWGTGTTAAAAAAAGTTCTTAGGTTTAATCCTACTCTCAAACTTAAGTGTAAATGCCAGTTATCAAAATTCTGAACTTATTTTAGGATTTTCAGTTTTATTTTGACATTTCTCAGAGAATAATCATGAACATGAAATCCGATGCAGTAACTGGTCCATGCCGAGGTTTTGCAACAACGTCATCAGCATCTGTGAGGATCTYATGTCTTGTGCTCTGTCTCCCTCTGGTGTTTGTCCTGCGTGTCACATACCCATCTCATTCCTCAGTTTATTTCAGTTCTTTCCTAAACACTGGGCCTTTCCCAATCAGTGGCTACACCCTCACCCTACTCCCTACTCGCTCAGTTTGGGCATTCCCGYGRAGGGTTGGCCMTATTAAGTCCYATCTGAAACCAATAACGAGGGCGAGTGGCTTATTAAGCCCTCCACAGCAAGTCTACATCCAGTGCAGACTTGAGCAGCAGGTGCAGCACCAAATAGTGGTCGACATGGAGCATGGGACACACTGCTCCATGTCGAAACATGATTTCGACATGGAAATGTCGAAATCATGTTT